AATCACAACACCTATAATTTCTTTTCTTAACACTAGATTACAGACTACTTTGTAAAAAAAAATTATTTATCTCCCTCATAATTTAGATAAGATTAATTTTTTTTTCTATTTTTACTTATCCTTCTCATATTCTATCTTTCTCATCTTTTGAATTTATTAAAATTAAGAGTTAAAAAAATGTGTATAACTATTTTACAATTACATTTGGTTATTTATTTAGGGATCGTTTGGTATTATTGTGTGTTTTATATTTTATATTTTTGAAATTTTTGTTTAGTTTTATTTTTAATTTACTAAATTTGAAAATATATTTGAATAAAATGTTTTTGTTTTAAAAATTTGAAAACAAAAACATGTAAGAGAAAGTGGTTAAAACTTTTAGGTCCTATTTGTTATTAATAACTAATTTTGAACCCATTTGATGCACAAAAATGTATTCATATATCAATAAATATTATATAGATATAATTTTTTTTAAATGATAATATAAGCTATAAAGTTTATGAACAATTCATAACTTATATAATCATTTTTATTTAAATTTATATATTTTAATATAATAAAATAAATTAATTACATATTGAATATACTTATGCAATTATCATTAATTCTAAAGAAAACTCAAATTATAATTTATTAAATCTAAATAATCTATAAATAAAAGACAATAATGTTTTCGATTTCAAGAAATTAAAATTTTCATCCTTAAATCAATCTTGCATACAAACTTTTTTCATGGGAGATTCTTTCATAAGTTGTTGTTGAAGCAAATATGTAATAATTTATTCTTCAGTATTTTTTGCTATCTTTAAAGTAGGTATCATTTTACTTGATGAGCCAATAGTTTTTTTAGATGGAGGTAAAAAGATAGATAAAATAGCAATTTATAATTTGATAATAGTTGAGTTATAATATAGACTATATAACTTTTAACAAACATAATCATTATAATAAGCTTATACATATCTCTTCCAATAATTTTTGACATTCAAGCTTAATATCAAAATTATACATCTTATTCACTATAAGTTTGGTACTACTCGTCTTAATATTATACTTGGTTGCCCTCGTCTCGAATACACAAATTTTGAGATCTTCAAATATCTCTTAAATTTTATAATCTTCATTTTCTTAAATCATAAGTATAAATATATCATCCAATTAATTTTAATATTAAAAATATTAAAATAATTTTTAACTTAATAACTTAACATATATTTCATAAAAATCGTTAATATCTCTATTAATTAAATCCTTAGCTTTTGTATTAAACTGTACGAATATCAACCTTCCAAAATTATCATGTCTCAATAATTAACTCGTACCTATAAAAATGAAAAATTCTACAATTATAAATATAATATAATAATTTAAAATACTTTTATCATCATCATGGAATAATAATTTTTTATATATCAAATATAAAATTTATAAATACTAATTATCTTATAGTTGAATAAGGGACATTAACATTGAAATTTCTCATCAATTTCAAATAGTTTCTCGTTACACCCACACGACATATAGTACCAATAAAAAGTGGTATCAATTTTCATGATAGTGACTCTACTGGTGAAAGATTTCTTGTATATACCCAATCATCTTTAAATCAATCATCAACAAAAATAAATTAAAAAAAGAAAGCCAATATCATAGTTAAAAAAATATGAAATATAGGTATAAAAATAGAATAACCTTTGAACAACATAGACTAATAAACGATGCAAAGTGAAAAATAGAGAGAAAATTGAAATAGAGTTGAGTAGTGATCAAAAGATATAAAATTAGTGAAAAGTGGTTAAAAATGAATTATGCTTCACCTATAGCTATTTATGCAAAAAGTGTATTGTAGATTAATTAATAAGATAATTTAAAATTATGAAAGTTAATATTGAAATAATAAAAATTATAAGTGAATAATGGTCTAATAATGACAAGTTGATTAATATTGAAATATTTTACTTTGCTATTAACATTTAGAGATCCTTTAATTTATAACAATAAAATAAAATAAATTTATTATATTTAATAATGACAATAAAATAAAATAAATTTTAATTAAATCAATGTGCATTAATATCTAGATTTTAAAATTATAAAACGTTACAAATGAAATTCAAGTGCATTAATATTTTATCAAATGAAATAAAACGTGCCTTAATATTTTACTAAATGAAATCAAATAAAATCATATTTGATGAAATATAAATCAATCAATCAAATATAAATTAGTAAAATATTTTATTCCATTAATTTAATTATGGAGAATTAATTTAATATATTTATTTTCTATATTTACACATGAAATTAATACATCAATTACTCAAATGGATATTATATTTAATCAAATATAAATGTATCAAATAATTGATTAGAGAATCAATTATTTTATAATTGTAATTGTAATTGTAGTATTTATTAAATTATTAATTATATATTGATTTATTTAATTTGTCAAATTAAGAAAATTTTTAAAATTTTAATACTTTTAATATGAATTGAATTAAGAGTGATTTAAAGTCAATAATGCAAAATAAATATAGTCAATTAATAAAATAATTTTAAATTATGAAAGTTAATATTGATACAATAAAAATTGTGAGTGAATAATTGTCTAACAATAACAAGTTGATTGATATTGAAATATTTTATTCTGCTATTAACATTTAGAGATCTCTTAATTTAGAATAATAAAAAAAATTAAATTTATTATATTTAATGATGGCAATAAAACAAATTAAATTTTAATTAAATCAACGTGTATTAATATTAAATAATAAAATTATAAAATGTTACAAATGAAAACAAAGAAAGTCAACGTATATTAATATTTTATCAAACAAAATCATATTTAATGAAATATAAATATATAAATCAAATATAAATTAATAAAATATTTTATTCCATTAATTTAATTATGGAGAATTAATTTGATATATTTGTTTTGTATATTTACACATGAAATACATCATAAAATACATCAATTACTCAAATGAAAACTATATTTAATCAAATATAAATGTATCAAATAATTAATTGGAGAATCAATTATTTTATAATTGTAATTTTAGTATTTATTAATTTATTAATTATATATTAATTGATTTAATTTGTCAAATTAAGAAGTTTTTAAATTTTTAATACTTTTAATATGAATTTAATTGAGAGTGATTTAAAATCAATAATAAAAACATAAATATAATCAATTTAGTTTTCTGAATTATATTTGTTTTATATATTTATGCACAAAATACATCAATTACTGGATACTATATTTAATCAAATATAAATATATCAAATAATTGATTAGAGAATCAACTATTTTATAATTGTAATTATAGTATTTATTAATTTATTAGTTATATATTAATTTATTTAATTTGTCAAATTAAGAAATTTTTAAAATTTTAATATTTTAATATGAATTAAATTGAGAGTAATTTAAGGTTAATAATAAAAATATAAATATAATCAATTTAGTTTTTTGAATTAAAAATGTATTAAAAAAATAAAATGCATTTATTAGATGTCACATAACGATTTTTAAGATCGTCCACATATCAACATTTTAAGCTGTTCACGTAGGGTTTTTTTTTTTTTTTTTGCCAAAAATTTTGACTTTTATATATTTATATAAGATAGAATAATGTTTATTAATATAATATTATTTATTTATTAATATATTATTTTAAATATATTATAATATTATTTATTAATATAATATTTATTAAAATAATATTTATATAATAAAAATATTAATTTATTAATATAATAATTGTTATGTCACTATAATGGTTTAATTGTAATTTTATGAATAATGCCAATGTGGTAATAGTGTCAAATTATTTCCAAAAAACTGAAAATACCAATTTTTGTACTTTCAAATTTTCCAATACTTTTCACAACTTTAATTTATTTTCAGTTTTTCAATAATAGAAACAAAAACAACCTACCAAATATGTTTTTATTTTTAATTTTTAAAAAAATTGAAAACGAAAACAAAAAAACTAAAAACAAAAACAAGCATCCCCTTAATTACTTAATTATTAAAACGGTTACAACTACATTGTCTTTTAAAGTTAAAGAATTCAAAAACAAATTTATTTCTTTGTCAGAGTAAATATAACTAATATGTAAACCTAAAAAGCAATTTTATGTATTCTACCAATTGTGTCTTTTCATTTTAATGCTTTTCATAAAACGAAAATGCCAAAAAAAACCTCTGTTCTTTTCCAACTTGTTCGATAAGTTTAAAATTTTTATAATAGAAATATTATTATCTTTTTTTTTTTTAACTTGTTCTAGTTCTAGTTTTAGTTCTAGTCAATGTTCTAATAGTGGGACTAACTAAGAATTTGAACTGGTACATCCATAAAGTTTTGGATTCAACCGATTTGATCAATTAAATTCAATTTTAAATCGCTTTTAAAATAGATTTGATGACTTCACATAGTTTAAAATATATTTTTAGATCAAACAGGTATTTTGGTGCAATCGAATCAAGTAATGATTCCAAAAATCATATGCATTAATTGGAGGAAGATCTATAATTTGTAACTTAAGATCATCATTATATTTTATCAATATAAAATTAGTGACATTTTCTTTCATTTAAGTATGTAATATTTCATAGCATTGGATTATTTCGATTTTGATATTTTTCATAAAAATTCATATTAACGAAGAGTTAGATAGAGTTTAATATTATTTGTCACCAAGCCATATTTTCAATTAAAAATAATGTCTACACAGCGAAGGAAAACTAACTTATAAACCCAAGACATCCAATTTCGAATCCATGTAGGAGTCGTAACAGTTGGTTCTTGTCTGTTGTTTCTTAATAATATTTTGGCATTATTATTTTTCAAAACCGACATTCCCATTATTCAACTTTTTCCTATAATCCAAATCTCTTTCCTATATAAATAAATAAATAAATAACAATAGCAATTTCAATTCATCAACCCTATCCCATTTGCAATCTACAATGATCTCCACCCATGGAAACCCTAGAGGATGAAACATTGGAGCAAGTGCAAGACATACAGTCAGCAATCGAGTCAACCCAAGATATAAACTCGTTGCGGAACCTCGATGAAGTGGAAGGGATCCTGGGCTACGAGTTTAACAACAAACTGTTGTTAGAAGAAGCTTTCACACATGCTTCGCTACGAGAGGCTTCTCCAACGAGCGGTTAGAGTACGCAGGTGACTCCGTTCTTAACCTACTCTTCACCAAAGAGCAGTATTTTGAATACCCTGATTTGCCGCCGGGAGCTTTGACCAGGCTCCGAGCAGCTAATGTCAACACCGAGAAATTGGCTCGTGTCGCTGTTAAACATGGGCTACATCGCTTTCTGCGTCACAAGAAACCTCTTCATGAGGAGCAAGTAAGTGCCTTTTACATTAATTTTCGATTAGGAGTTTGATTTTTCTTTTAACAAAAGCTTTGAAAATAAAAAAAAAAAAATTTGCATGCAGTAGAGTTTAAATCTCAATTTTATTGACTATAATATTTTATGAGTAACTTTCATGAATCAACTGATGCTTGTTTGTCTTTTTTTTAGTTAATCAAATAGTTCTGAATCGTTAGGAGTTTTGAGTAAAGTTTTAGCTGTTGAAATCTTAATTGATAGTGATGTTTCTAGTTTATAGATTTTAGTCCGAGTTGACATTTTCAAATACACGTGCAAAGTTTTGAGCTTTTTTCGCTTGAATTATAAGTTATATTTATTTTTGAAGGATCCCGACATTTAATTTCCTTTCAATTTCATTGGTAATTTGTCAAACTTTGGTTAATTAAATTTTAGTTGAACAAGAGACCAGTTGGAGTGGAAAAAGAGTTTCAGTTTCGATCCTATGCATATAGGGGTAGAAAAAGAGTTTCAATTCTTTTTTTTTTTTTTAAACTTTAGTTAAAGTCTTCTTTATTACTTTTTTTTTTTGTTTTTTATCAATGCATTATCATAATTATTGTTTACATTCATAAAACTCAATCAATATAATTGTCGATCCTATATTCGTAGAAAAAGTAATTTACTATTAGTAGTGATGCCTTTTGTTGAAACCAATAAAAAGAAAAAAAAGCAATTTATCAATCTTATTTTCGTTATGCAATTCTCATTGCATGTGGGAATATATTATAATAACGTAAAGTTACAAATTTAAAATCTATTTCATTAAATGATATGATTGATTATGATAAAATTAAAAATGATAATATTAGTGAAATTAGTTATTTAATGATAAAATTAGATACAATAAAAATAAGTGATTGAAATATAAGTTTATGTAATTACGATATTACGATAAAATTAAAAATGAAAATGACTCTTTCTCCGGTGACAAATTAAAAAGATAGTGAGTTTAATTGCAGTATGAAATGTATTTCAAATGCACTTCACAATATAATTAATTTCAATAAAAAATTCATTACGATGAAATTCAAATGAGACTTAATCTATATTTAATGAATAAATTAGCATTTAAATGATCATGGATTATTGTCTTATGTTTTTAATTAAGGTTTGTAGCTTAGTGAATTCCTTGCAGATTAGGATGCTAATTAGATTTCGTGAGTAGAGGCATCCATAAAAGGTTTGTCTTCAAGTCCCCAAAGCATCTTCTTCTGTATGGGTCATTATTTGGTAATTCTATATTTGGGTCAAGTGTGCTTGACTTTGATTTGGTCATTTCTTCCTACAATCTAATCTAAAAAGGTCCACAGATTCGACAATTTTCTAGAGAAATACAGTGCTATCCTTTGCATTCCAATGGACTGATTGACGTGCCAAAGGCGTTAGCCGATCTTGTTGAATCCACCATCGGGGCCGTTTTCATTGACAGCAATTCCTCCATTGATACTGTGTGGAAGGTACCTCGCATTTTTCTTTAACTTTCACCATTGATAATTTCTTGAACTTCTCGTCAGTAGTTTACATATTTCTTTTGAATATTGTATAGGTGTTCAAGGATTTGTTGGAGCCCATAATCAGGCGAGAGACACTGGAGATACACCCAGTGACCCAGCTGTACGAAGTGTGCCAGAAGAGAAATTTGAAAGTGAAATTCGTAGATTTATGGAAAGAAAGCACAGCTTTCGATGTGTTCATAGATGACCAACTTGTGGGAAGAGGTGCATGTGGGCTCAAAAAGGAAATTGCACATAACAGGGCTGCCAAGGATGCATTGGACAATATTTGGAGAATCTTGGATCAAAAGGATAATAGTATTGCTGAAGAAACAAACTCTTTGACATGATGGATTCAAAATGTACAAGCTGAAGTAAATTTAACACATATTTTAGAATATTTATGAATTAATAAGGTTTTGTTTGATAAGCGTTTTTTATTTCTACAAAAAAAATAAGAGAAATTATCTTGCATACCTCCATTGGCAAATAATTTGGTCTCAGCTGGTTTCCGACTTGTAGACATGGCCATTGAGTATGTTGAATGATGAAACCATAGGTTTCATAAAAGTACTCCACAACAGATTTCATTGTTCCTCTTTCATCTACCGGAAAAATCAGCTCTCTAGTTGCTTGTGATGTCAATATTTTTCCACGGTGTGTAACTTCAACCTTTACTCCTTTAAAAGTCAGTTTGAATCTCACCGTATCTTCGGTGCGATAAAATTCAACTCTCAAATAAAAATCAATTGAATTAGCTATTCATTTGAATGTTTTGATTTCAATGTGATAGCGACATTCTCAGTGTCAAGTTCAATGATCTACCGAACCAAAAATTCATCAGGGGCCAACTGATATTGGTTTTTTTTTTTTTTTTTCTCTTTACTCTTAAATTAGTAGAAGCTAGCAAGGATTAGTGGTCCCAATTCATTAAATAAATTTTTTTATTTAAGCATGTAAGCCTGTAAAGATGGGTAGATTTTTGTGATTAAAATATTTCTTCTTTTTAGTTTTTTATTTAGATTTTTTATTTAAAATTATGAAATAACTTTATTATTATTTAATTTAATATAATAAATTAATTTTACTATAATAAATTAATAAATAAACAAATTAATAAATAATAAATTTTATTATGTAATAAACTAATAAATAAATAAATTTTAATATTATATAAAAATTTTTGGAGATTATTTTGTTATTTAACAATCCTACATAAAATAAGAAAAAATAAAGAAAAAAATATTATTTGATATATTAATATTTTTTTATTAATTTTTAATTATTTATTAATAAAATTATTATTTGACATAAAATAATTTAATAATAATTTATTAATTTTATAAATATTAAATAATTTATACATTTTAAATTAATGTTTTTAATAATAATTTTTCTTTTCTTTACAATTCAACTTACTGCTATTGTTATATTTACATCCAAATATATATCTTTTATCATTGATTTTAATTTAACTACTATAATAACCAATTGAATCTCTATCATTTTTTTTAATATTACTAGAGTCAATTTTACCGCCAATATCTCTAAGAAATTTTTTTTTAATCTTTACATGATCAACATCGGATAGTGGTCTAGAAGAAACATCCCTATTTAGCAATTGTGTTACAAAATCATTAACTGGCAATGGCTCAATGAAAGCAGTCGAAGACATATCAATATTCAGTGACAATCCCATCTGTGTAGGACGAATGCTTTGGTAAAAACCACGACAGCTTTCTAATCCCTCACCCAAAGGCTGCCTTCTCCCTAGGTCAGGGGAATAAAATGAACGGCCAACAGGACAGTACCTGGTAGCGGGTAATTCACGAAGAACAATGTTTAGAAACTGAAGAGCTTCTTGAGGTGCATTGGCTCGCTTCCCTTGCTAAAAGAGACCAAGATGGTGCAGATCAGACATGCAGCCAATTTGATCACAACTCTAAATACGCGCACTCTTAAAGTCCTTTGACACAAAAGAGAGAGGCAAGCTAATAAAAATTGGAGCAAGTGATTAAGATTTAGAATCTAAAGATAAAGCACCCAAGTTCAAATTTTACATTTTTTTTTATGTTGGTAGGTGATTTGTAGGTTCAAAGAGTTTTAAAAAATTCATAATTTTTTTTTATGAGTTGATGACTTACCTTAACCTTAAATATGGAATAAACTTCTTATTTTTAAATTTCTTCTTGATCAAGAAAGAGAAAAAAAGAGGCCCATGCATGAATATGATTTATTATTTGATTTTTTTTTTCACTTCCTTATAAGATTATTGAATTAGACGTCTGGCCTAACAATTATAACCATAAAGCCTACTCATTAACATATTTTTTTAGATCAGATTGGATTTTTAGCTAAAGTTTTGCTGGAACTCATCTATTCTCTATCATAAGTGCATCAAAAAGCTCCGCTGCCATATCTCTAATTGCTCCTATTTGCTATGCACATTAATTTGGCAAGCTTCAACGTCTGGTGCATTTTTTAAGTTTGAAGAGGCTTCAATGAAAGATATTACATCAACAGATTTCAATCAAAGGTATATTTAAGAAAACAATATTCATTTGGAAAAGCGAGCAATATTTTGAGAAATTTTTGTTCAAATCTTTAAATGTTTATTATATATATATAAGTTTTAAAAACTATACCAATAATATAAGAGATAATTTTTTAATATATTTTTTGTTTTTCGGGGAAAAGAAATCAATATTCAAATTGGGTTCACTTGGGATTTAGTTCGATTTTGATCAATCGATCTGGCGGCCTTAACCTAGTAAAACAAGCCCCACTTTAACAAGCCCTAAATGCTTGTCCAAACGCAGCCCATCCATTCGGTAAAATGCCCAGAGCCCCAGACCTTTCTCCAACTCAGAAACCACAAATCAAACCGCCCACCCCTTTTCTGAATCTTGACCAGCCAACAAATTCCAACGATCACCGTAGTTTTTTTTTTTTTTTTAGTGAAAAGAGGGAACACCAATGATTAGTGTTGGCATCCTCAATTATTAGAAAAAAAAAATCTAGACCAACATGAAATCCAACTTTGTAATGCCTTTTATTAAACATCATAAATTGCGAACGATTTAACAAAAAAAAAAAAAACACAAATATAACGAAGCAAACTCGAAATTTTCGATCATCAAATAAAAGTTACATTTGAGAGTTATGGATTTTGTGCTAGGAGAGGGAGAGACGCTTGAAAAAAAACGGAGGGAAAGGAAGGAAAGGGCCAAGTTGAAATTGGAGAAAGAAAGAATGAGAGCATTTGTGGCTCAAGGACTGCTCCATGTGATTCTTGTGGGCTTTCTGTAATGTTGAAGGACGGACATTGCCTTTCACCCGAAGAACTAATCTCAGCCTAAATTCCCGATTCCAGTAAAGTCCAAAATCAGCATTATTTCGCAGGGCTCATGTTTAAAATTCAAAGAAAAAAAATCAATACTGCGGCTGTTGACATAAATTCATGAATCAAAGAGACAGGTGTAATTATTTTTATCTATTGCAAGAATTATGAGGCATGATTCCTTGTGATTGTGAAAAAGACAATATATATATATTAAATATTTATCATGTGAATATTATTTTTCATTTGACGCACATTTCCTCAAATGGGATGTACTATGAAATTGTCCATGATCGGAATTCAAAAGAAGAATCACATAAATTTAATAGTAACTGGCAAATACAGTGATCCGATAGGTGGCGCTGTGAAAGGCAGATTTGAAGCTTAGTTGCTTTGAGTTGGGGATGACGCCGCTCAAGCTTTAGTTGCTTTGGGTTGGGGATGAAGCACTTCAAGCTTTGGTCAGGTTTGATAGCAGGCTGTCTGCTTCTGAACGTTTTCTTTACTGTCATTTCATGGAACAAATCAGTAAAACAAGAAAAATTATTGTGACATATATCTTTGTCACGTCACTTGTAAACTTTAAAAATAACAAATTAGAGAATTTTTAAATATAATTTTTTTTACTTAATTTTTTTTCAAATTTTTTTAAGTAAAATTATTTATTATTTTATTCCTTTCAATTTTAAAGCTTTCAAATATATATTTTCGATAAATTATGTAACTTATCAAATTTTTATATTCGATAAATTAAAAAATACATTTAGTTTTGAAAGAAAAATAATTTAAAAAATATCCTAAAAATTTTTAAAATTTTTGAATATATAAATTTGAAAACTTTTAAAAGTTTTTAAATATATAAATTCAAAAATCTTTTTAAAATTTTAGATTTGCAAATTCAAAAATTTTTAAAAACTCCAAATTTGTAAATCTGAAATTATAAAAGTGCAAAAGATGTGAAAAAATAAAATTAATTAAATAATTTCATTTAAAAATAATTAAAAAAAAGATGTAAACAAAAAATAAGGTGTGTTTAAAATCATCCTACAAACTATTTTTTGAATTTTTTTTTAACCATAGAGAAACATCAAAAGGACGTAACATTTTATTAATTTATATTTAAAAATTATCATGATGTGGTAAGTATCATTGCACATTGGCGAAGATTTTAAGTTTACAAACGAATTAAAAAATTTTATATATGTTTTATTTATTTTTAATATATTCTATTAATTATGGTCTTGAATTTAATTACTTTATGAATGAGATAATTTTTTCTTTTGACTAAATCTATAGCTTATTCATTCATAAATTATGTATGTGAGACATGTATATTTTATGAATTAATATTTTTTCAAAAATTATCATTGTCATAATAGTTTTGTGTTCGTCCGACAAATTTGAAAATGAAATAAAAAAAATAACGGAATCGTCACCAATCTTTTTTTTACTAGGTATGATTGATTACCTATTAAAATATATCTTTTTAATGAAATTAATTAAAATTTATTAAAAGAATAATTTTAGGGTCTGCGTAACAGTCTAGATTTGAGAGTCGATTATGTGTGGGGAAGGATTAGCACCCCACAATACCGTTTAAAATGGTACCAATTAATTACGTATTATCATTTATTTTGATAAAAAATAGTCTCATTTTTGTATTTGAAAAATAATTTTCTTGATTTTTTATTTATTATTATTTTTTATTGTTCAAATTTTATTCGAGAAAGATAAATTAGAACATGTTTTTATCAAAATAATTCTTAAAATATTTCAGTACGTTGGTAACATCAGAATAACTTTTTCACACTTAGAGATTTTTTAGGTATTACTTCTTGGAATACCTTAGAATCTCATCCTTAGAGGCTCAAATTTACTTTTCGTAAAAAATTATGTCGTGCATGCAATGTAGAATATTACCATGTTATGCACACATTTTATTCTTTTTTTCGTAATTTTATTAATTGTTTTATTTGATTTTTTTTTCAATTGAAATTTTGAAAAAAAAAT